ATTGTTGATCATTTAAACTTGATTGATCCCAATATCCAGATGCGTTCATTATTGTGTCTATTGGAATTTAATAGTTAAAATATTTAATGTCAAGAATTCCAAAAGAAAACAAAACAAAACAAATTAGATTTGATTAATTGTGTTTGAATATGCTTTATACGTGTTTGCAATTCTTGTAGATCTCGACTATAAATATTTCAAGATATCTTCTATAGAGAAGTTTTCCATAGAGTCTTAAATCCATAAGAAATCTAGTTAAGTCTAAATCTTATTAAAAGGAGAAAACCGAAAGACTGAGTCCAATGGAAGTGTGCGACCACATTATAAAGCCAAAGTGTTGTGTTTAACTTAGATTTGCAAAACTTCCAAAGTAGGAGCGCGCCGAAACATATTCCTATGCAGCTGTGCGTCTTATTGTGTGAACAGGGAATATAATCAACGCGTTCTGTTAATCTGTCGACAACCATTAAGACTTGATTCTTGAAGACCATAACCGTGGCTCCGAATGCCCAAACCGCCGCAACCGCCAAATACAGTAATCCAACTTGACAAACATGTGAGAGAGTTTGTACTCTCCCAGCAAATGTTTAGCATTATAGAAAACATTAGTAAGTATTAAATGTATATAGAAATATAATTAATTTTACATCATACGTGAAAAAAAGGAGCCAAACCAATGTGATACTTAAGATTATTCAAGAATTTCGTGGAAAACTTTCTCCTTACTCTTCGCTCATACAACGAAACAAGCTATCCTCATAAGCAATTATTATAGGATTTCATGAATTGAGAACCGCCAATTATCAAAGAACAACGACCACACTTAATGGTAGAAATTTATCTAGCATATTTTCTGGTTTCCTTTCAAAATTCTCTTACTGTACAATAAAAAATCCTAAGAATTACATTAGCTTTCATCGAACTCTAATCTATTAAGACCATCGAAGGCAATTGAAGAACACAAACTACATCAGGTAATTGCCGAAAGCTTATAATCTTCCTTAAAAAATAATAAGAACCAAATGTGTTTAAATCAATTGTAAGAGTGAAAAGCAATTATTCAGAAATAAGCTTTATTAACCTGGAAGCGCGTTATCTATTTGATATCTCAGATATTATGAACTAATACCTCCCTCTATGACTATAGAATTAATTAACTAAACAAGTTTTACAATCTCAATTCCAAAAGGTGGAAATCCACTCATATTAATACAAATCCAGAAAGCTCGTATAAACTCCTTAGGCAAACCCCTAAGACAAATCCCGAGTAGCATTACTTTAGGTTTCTAACCAGCTGATACTCAACCAAGCTTTACTAATTAACACATATTATAATAGCTTTCTCTTGGGAACCGGCAAACCTTAAAGACCACAGAATGTTCCATTTCGAAATAATCCTTACATCGATTCCGGATCTTCGTTAAGCTTTTTAGTAAAAGTTAATTTGCTCTTCTACAGAATTCATCGAACATGATTTCTTTGCTTGAATAGAAAGTTGGAAATTATGAATGTTTTTATTCCGAAGTGATAAGTGCTACCTTTTAAACCATGATTCTTCTTCAAGAATAACATACATAGTTGGCAAAAAGAAAAATGTTTTATCGAATTTCTTACTCGGGCCTTTACCCTCAATTTATTTAGAAGATAAGAATTTAAGGTTCAAATGACCCATTGATTGTTAGACGCATAGAAAGTTAATGTCAATGCTCCGTGACACAATTGATTCACAAGTCCCCAAAAAAAAAAAGCTTAAAGTAAAACATCACCTTCATTAGGTGCAACAATCAATTCATGGTTCGTGTTTTTTTTTATGGCGATTTTCTCAATATACTTTATGGTACTCATGAAAGTTCATCCATAGATTGGATGGCTCAACTAAATAAGCTGGATTTCAGGATATCATTATGGAATATTTCCAAGTGAATTTCATGTGATTTTGGTATTAAATAAGCTTTTTACATTACGTGTACTAAAAGCTTCTTCACTTACGACTGAAAGTTATATTTAATTCAAAGGAGAAGCTTAATAGTCTGGTCAGGCTACTTTCGAAACCTTTTTTTCTATCCTAGTAAGGTTAAATTGAGTTTTTCATTGAAGAGCAAGGATGATTATACTCAGGGGAGTTAGCTAAGGAAAGTATAATATGTGATTCTTGGCTAGGAGCCAAGTCTCGTAAATGCGAGAAGCAACCAAGATACAACAAAACCATTCGCACAAATATTCCACCATAGTAGGAAATACATCCAAGGAGTTTCTGCCAACTGATTGTCGAACTTCTGGAATGGTGTAGATTCGTGCCAACCTACTAAAAGTTTGTGTTGTTAACTGAAGACACTTTTTGATCATTTAGAAGGTTTCTTCCTCAACTATCAAAAATAAAATCCTTATTCTGTAAAGTCAAAATTTTTGAAACTATAATTGATATCGATCCCGCCCTCCAAATTCGAATGAACACAATATTGAGTATATAAAAGCTTAACTTACCAGAAGGGAGAGTATGGGCTTAAAATAATTATTCCGTGAATGGGTATATTTTTTCTGTGTGTTAAGTATAATTCTGTACTTTAACTTTAATTTTGTGTTCATTCAAACTAATCATTACATTTAAAACACTCAAACCTTGATTCAAGACCACAAGACTCGAGGGTCATGCAAAAACGACGAGTATCTTCGTAGGGATAGAAATTACCTATAAATATGCCTGGTTGGCGCAAATTAGTTCTGGTTTTTTAAACATTTGTTTTTTATTTGCAACCACAAATATTTTTCTCAATAGATTCAAATGAAAATCTACGGTTTACTCCTTACGCTAGTGATCACATCATTAGCCAGAGCTTTCAATTTAGGTTTGATTGGTGACGACGGTAAGGATTTATTTCTCCAATGCATTACATATACATGCCTCTTGACTTACAGTCAATCGGAGGCGAGTGAATTCACATATGATTATAGCCAACGAGCAGTGCTCCTTGATGGAAAGATAATGACCCACAATTATTACTTCTTTCACACACTGGGCACAGAAATTATTTGGACGATCTCTGGAGACGACAACGACATTACCCTTAAGCCTGACGAACAGTTGTACCAGGACTACAGTTACCTGGCTATATGGGCATATGATTGTCCCACCTGTATTTCCATTGACCGGTTCCATGTCTACGGGGATTTTCCAATCCCAGAACCTAATCCTTTGATGGGTACCTTCAAGTTGGCCATCAACGATACTACAAATGCTGGTCTGTCGTTGCGTTATCTTGCTTTTTCCCCTTATCCTGATAGTTCACTTCTGCTTGAATCGGCCACATGGAGTTTTAATCGGATAGCTGCAAACTATTTCTCATTTGAACCACCTTTTGTGTTATATAATGGACAGGAACTCGTTCATACTTTGACATATATCCTTCCCTATTATGGTGTGGATATTCCCTTTATAAAATTTACATTCCAAATCGATTCGACAACTGGTAACAAATTACTCACGCCTAACGTTCAAATGTATTTTATGGAGTCTGGTGATATTTTTATTTATAATGTCGGAGGAGTTTGTACCGCTTTTCCAAATTTTATTGTCGTATACGATGACCCTGAACCAGTTCAACCAGAACCAACTACTGAACCAGAACCAGTTCAACCAGAACCAACCACTGAACCAGAACCAGTTCAACCTGAACCAACTACTGAACCAGAACCAATTCAACCAGAACCAACCACTGAACCAGAACCAGTTCAACCTGAACCAACCACTGAACCAGAACCAGTTCAACCAGAACCAACGACTGAACCAACTACTGAACCAGAACCAGTTCAGCCAGAACCAACCACTGAACCAGAACCAGTTCAACCAGAACCAACTACTGAACCAGAACCAGTTCAACCAGAACCAACGACNGAACCAACTACTGAACCAGAACCAGTTCAACCTGAACCAACTACTGAACCAGAACCAACTGAACCAGAACCAACTGAACCAGAACCAGATGACCCTGTTGATCCTGATGACCCTGTTGATCCTGATGATCCTATTGATCCTGTTGATCCTGATGGTCCTATTGATCCTGATGATGGTACCACGAAAGGAGCACCAGAAGCTAGCTCCCAACGTGTGACGGTCACCCGTCTAGGTACGGTTACTAGCACGGTTTGTGAAGCTCATGGGTCATGCTCAACTAGCACAAGTATTTACACGACTATTATTGAAACGTATTCGCCCGTCATTGAAGAGGATGGTATTACAACTTCCACAAGGATGGTCACTGATTGTGAAGGTAGCAGTTGTGGTCAATCTGGAGGTGAGTACTCCGCAGTGGTTTCAGAATTGTTTGACGAGGCAGCAAAGCTGGTTGGATCTACTTTACTTGTTTGTATAAGTATGCTTATGTCAGCTTTGATTTTTGTTTAAATTTTATTCAGTAATCAGTTTGATAATTTCGGGTAAGATTGTTCATTTGTTTTCGGCAACATCTTACCTTTTGTTTAATTGTATAGATTATATAGTCTTATATACGCTCACCTCTTATGAATAATCATAATTGTAAATGGTAATTACTTTGCAATCCTAGTATTCTTGAATAATTTAGAGTGATGAAACTTTGAGATTCGCCGAGGCGTGCACTGTAACAGAATAGTTCGAAAATAGAATTCACTAGTTTTTTTTTTCTTATATCTATTAGGAAACTATATAATTAGAGATACCCATACAGAAAAACCTGCTCTTATTGAGTTACTCCAAAAGCGTGGAAATTTTTCATGTTTATATATAAATTATTAAAGATGTATGATTGATTTGTAAGATTTTAGTGTGATAATCTAAGGTAGGCTTAGATGGTAACGGTTCTAAAAATACAACTAATATCCCTCTCCGTCAAATGACGAAGTTTTTGCTTTCGTCGTCTTCGTTTGTGCCATAATTTAGTTATGTTTGTGAAATACCTATCGGCTCGAACATATTCATCCTGATGGAGAACTGAGCTTCCGATCAGAAGCCGTAAACTTATAGGGTAACGGGGGCAATGGCGTGTCCATAGGCGCTTAGCAATTGGACAGCCTTGACAGATGTGTGTTAGACCTGGATGAATAACCGTCTCGTCTAGATAAGCTTTCTGATGTCAAGTTATATAATCATGTACCTTTTACTCTACAATGCGAAATGTGACATTCATTGAAAAATTGCAAAAATCTTATTTTTTAGATTATGCATTACTATGCATAAAAAATATTTGTTGCAAAATATTTTTTACACGATGCAATACAAATCTAACAAACGTCACAGGGCCATATACAACAATATTAGAAGAAAGGCCCAATCCCGGAATTACATCCTAGATAGTTTCAGAGGTTGTTGATACAGAAGCTGTGTTCCATTCATTCGAGTTTGAATTAACAAGATTGTAAGGCTTTGTTTCTCGGAAGTGTAAATGAGTTGACAGGAACAGTTCCCTTTTATTGGATTTTTTTAAAAAGATGCATTAGTTTAACGGCATGGTTGAGATTGGATGGTTTCCTAGGTGATTCACTGAACTGGTTGAGATTGGATGGTTTCCTAGGTGATTCACTGAACCTCTTGGAAGAGTTCTTTGACAGTTAAGTCCATTCCATATTAGAAAACGAGACGATTTCTTTCAATCTAGCACGTACGTGGAATATTGTAAAAAACTACTCAGTAGATTCTGAGAAAACTTCTGGTAAGTTGACAAGTTTTGGTTCTACAGGCAAGGAAACAACCAGGTTCTGGTTTTACAGAATGGACTCCGTGTTACCTTTCCAGCTCAGACACAGTATTTTTCGGTTTTATGCCCTATGTGAAAGACTGTATTCTCATGCTTTAAATAGTTAATTACTTAGTTGAACACTTCTTTGAATAGTGAGTACCACAAAGGCAGATATAGGTTGGCATTGTTATGAACCCCACTTTTTAATAATATTTTATACGGTACAACTGTATCTACGTGGACAGTTTTATAAAGCAAAGCTGATTATGGCCGTTTTTATATGGGAATTTATTCAAACAAATACTTGCACTACACGCAATTTCTCTAAGACATCATAAAAGTCCCAACCCAGTGTATAGGTCAAAATAATTAAGAATTTTTTTTTATATAATTATAATAATATCTGTTTGGGGTATACAAAATCTACTGCAACTAAATAAGCTCATTCTCACTCTATATATCTACAACCATTTTAGAAGAACTCA